ACCCAAACCCAAACCCAAACCCAAACTCATAAACCCAAACCCAAACCCAAACCCAAACTCCCAAACAGTTTGGGTTTGGGTTTGGGTTTGGTGCATGCCTAACTGAAAGACTGAAAGCACTGACGCCGACGTCACTGAAATACTGACCACCTATGCACTACTGATCACTGATACACTGACATCAACAGCGTCACTGATGATCAGTTTTCTGTGACTTCACTGAGATCTCGTAATTATTATGTAATAATGTAAAATATGTATTTAAAATAAGCGAAGAATGGTCATAAAGTAGATACGGATGATTTTGAAAACAATGAATGATTACATTTTTAGAAATATGAAGAACAATGGAGAACAATAGGAATGTGAGTGTGTTATAGCTAAGGGTGGAAAGTTACCAGTTACTTTTTCCTGGTAATTTCTTAAAAAGACGAATTATCACTTGCATTTGACCAAATATCGTCAATACAACATTGAACAGAGTTCGGAGTAAGGGTGGAAAGTTACCGTTACCGTTCCCAGGTAACGATAACTGTTCCGTTACCAGTTACCCGGGAACGGTAACGGCCCGTTATCTTGAGGGTGTGGGTGTGTTCATGGGTAAAATCAAATCTACACCCACACCCACATCCACACTCACACTCACACCCACACCCACACCCACACTCACACCCATACCCACACCCACACCCCACACCCACACCCACACCCACACCCTCCTACTTTTGCGGCCAGTTCGTGTGTCCTGAAGTCCAATTGTAGTCGAAGTTCTAGGTCCCCAATACCTGTTATACAGGGGTATCTCTGAGTTTCGAAGTCATATTATGAGGGGCACCAACAGATGCCAGTAAATGACGTAAATGAATTACAAAGTAATTTAAAAAAAAATGAATTACAAAGTAATTCAAAAAAAAATGAATTACACAGTAATTCAAAAAAAATGAACTACAAAGTAATTCAATTTCTATTAGTTTCTACTAGGGTCTATCTACTAGGGTCTACCAGGGTCTACAGAATCTACCAGGGTCTAAAGGATCTACCAGAGTCTACTAAAGTCTTGATGTGGGTGCCGCGAAACAACTTACATCACATCTCTCTCGTTGTGGGTGCCGCGGAACGACTTACATCACGTCTCTCTCGATGTGGGTACCGCGAAACTCTGGTAGACGCTGGTAGATCCTGATAGAACCTAGTAAACCCTGGTAGACCTTGGTAGACTCTGGCAGACTCTGGTAGACCCTGTAGACCCTGGTAGAAAATGTCAGAAAGTGAATTGCTTTGTAATTCATTTACGTCATGGTCTCACGGATGCTCAAGTCTTATTAGGAACGATTATTCTTAGAACCTTAGGTCCTATTGTTGTGGAGTATCCATAGGTGCTGAACTGCGATGATAGAAGGGTACTCTGAGGAATTGAAGTCACATTTGAGAGTGATACTCATGCGTTCTCAAGTCCTATTATAGATCGGTATCCGATGTCCCTGAAGTCCTATTTTAGAAGGGTACCGTTAAGACCTGAGAGCCTGTTGTAGAGGATTATCGTCAAGACATCTATTCATGTAATGTAGGATCTGATAGATCTGCAAGTCAAATCATCTAGAATAACTCTTTGGTCCATAAATCCTGTTTTGCCGAGGTATCTATTGGATCTGAAATGATATCGTGTAGTGGTAGTCATAGGTACTCAAGGACTAGTGTTAAGCGGACCCGATATGTCTTCAAGCTCCTTAGCATACAGGTACTTAGAGATCGTCACGCAGTATTATATAGAAGTATCTGTTTGTCCTGGCGGAGTATGCTTTGGGGTACTCGTAGCTGTTCGCAGGCTCTTCTGCGGAACTAATCGTTCGTAGTCGAGTCAAATTATATAGATGTCAGCGTCCAACCTTAAATTAGACGTAATCTCAAATTGGACCAGGCAGACGTCCGATCCGAGATTGAGGTGTGGGTGTCGGTGGTGGGGTGGGTGTGGGTGGCGGTGTGAGTGTGGGTGTGCGTGTGCGTGTGGGTGTGCGTGTGGGTGTGCGTGTGGGTGTGTGGATATGGCTGTAGCGTGTGGGGGTGGGTGTGGATATGGGTGGCGTTGGTGTGGGTCATAGTTTTAACTTATCACACACCCACACCCACACCCCGCCCACACCCACACCCACACCCACACCCACACCCACACCCCACCCATACCCAAACCCACACCCCACACTGACACTCACACCCACACCTCTGAGTACAGTTATAAGGTGGCCGTTGAGTACCTATACGAACCCATGCAGCGTGAACCTTTAGGATCTATGAGTACCCGCATAGGGTAGCCCTTGAAGACTTATGAGTATCCCTACAAGATAGTGCTTGGGGCCCTATGGGCACCCTATAGGGTAACTCCTGAGGACCTATAAGTATCCATATAGGGTAGCTGTTGAGGACCTATAGGCAACCCTATAGGGTAATCCTTGAAGACCTATGACTGCCCCTATAGGTAGCCCTTGAGGACCTATGGGTACCCCTATACGATAACCCTAGAGGACCTATGACTACCCTTATAGGTAGCCCTTGAGGACCTATGGGCACCTCTAAGGGTAGCCCTTGAGGACCTATGGGCACCCGTAAGGGTAGTCTTTGAGGACATATGAGTACCCCTATAGGATAGCCCTTGAGGAGCTATGACTAGCCGTATAGGTAGTCCTTGAGGACCTATGAGTACCCCTACAAAAAGTTCAGTTCGTTCGGATGAGCTGTTCTGAAAGTTCAGCTCCTATGAAATGAGCTGTTACAAAAGTTCAGCTCGCTCAAATGAGCTTTTCGAACAGTTCAGCTCATTTCACATGAGCTGTTCGAACAGTTCTTTTGCTCATTTGAGCGGATTTCGTGAGCTGAGCTTGTGTACCCGTGTTTCTGATGAAGAAAAATTTTGGGGGTTGCACATACCAAAATCAACAAGTTTTGGATGCCAGATGAACCGATTTTGACCCTTCTTGGGCTTATAATTCCCTTAAACATGCAGCTTTGGGCTGAAATTTTTATCGCTGACTTCCAACATATTCTCGAAATTTCAGCCAACGTGTACTGACGGGGGCCGTAAAAACGTCTTGGAATGTTTGTTCTTTTACGGCTTCAATAATATAAATTGAATCCAACAAGCTTTTCTATCGAATTGATTATCTCATCTATAATCGTTGGCGGTCTTCAACTGAGCCAGTTTTAAGAAACTTTTGATGGATAGATAGAATAGTAAGTCGTTCCGGAATCTCCACTGCTTCTCTTCGTTGTAATTCGCGATTCAAATTTTGAAGTTAGGATAACAGTTTTCTTTGTGATCGATAACTTTTGCGGCACCCTGCTTCTATCAATGAAGTATTCACTGAATGACTCGATCTATTTGCAGGGCATTGACAAGTGCAATAACGGTTCATTATCTGGCGCAGAAACGTTATAATAATAAATATGAGATAACAGAGGACGATGCATTAGTTTTAGCTGACCGTACAGCTCGTCAGTATCAGTTATTTCTCGGTCTCGATACTTTACCGCGTTTGCTTTTGCAAAATCTTGGTAATCGTCGATCATTGGTGGATGACCGAAGTCGTAGTCCTAATCAGCCATCTGAATTTCATCTGCCGGATTCGTATCGATTTACCGGAAAAATAATCATAAGTCTTCATGATAAATGTGTTCGAATTGAAATTATACAAAGAAATAACCAACGTCATGTGATTGAAGATTCGCTACGACGAACAGAAGAAAATCTTCAACAGTTACTTGAACGTATCACATCGTATGGAACTGATCGTGATGTGCAATTGTTGCAATTGATTGACTTGAATTTACTTTCATCAAAAGGCGCGTACGATGAAAAGAAAATCTTCGAAACGTTGAAAGAAAGATATGATGAATGCATGGAGTACAAGCGTTCGATGATTGTCTATGATCTTGATTCATTAGTTGGAGTAAATCAATCGGAATCCGAATCATCCATGGGAACATCAACTAGTACTTCGATTGTGAGTCAAAGTATTTATATTTACGTAACAAGTCGTTTCCGTGAAGCTAACATCGAAGAAAGTGAAGCGGATAAAAGACACAGAAATGAACGATGAGCTATGGCTGTTGCGCGCGACCCATTTTTAATGAAAAAATTTACAACTGATGTTAACTTTACACTCACAAATGAGCAAATTGAACAAGAGGAAGAGGAGCATTGGCGTTCGACAACGACTTTGAGCTGTGTTAAATGCCGAGATCTTTATATCGAAAGTGATAATAAGATGGGTTCTTGTAATTATCATGATGGGTTTGTCTTCGATAATTTTTCATTAGATTTGGCGAAATATAAGCCGAGTGCGGCGATTGATACGCTGAATCGCGAAGAATATCTTGCATTCAGAGACTCGAGCGGGAAGGACGAAATCGAGAAAGGAAAAAGTCGATTCAAGTATATCTGTTGTTATGCAACTTTGCAAGCCGGAGCAGGACCTGGAGGATGTAAAAAAGGAAAACATGGTTTTGCTCATGGAAATTAGAAAAGTTTTCAAGGACAAATTTTGGATAAAGAAACGATTGACAAATGGGAAACCGCATGTCACGAAAACTTGCAATATAATCAAAAGCGGGAGGCCTTATTCGGACAACGATTAAAACTTTGATTTACATTCATCGTTGCGTAGTGTGATTACTGCGATGCGAGCAATGACATAGTATCACTCTGTTGTTAAACATAATTATGAAATCTAGTTTAAGTCACTAATAAAACTCTACGAATGACCGATATATTGATTATCTGATAGATTCACTTGAATACTTTCTACTAGAAAAAACAAATCGAGAATGGGTGCGGGTGTGGGTGTGAGTGCGGGGTTTTGGTGTGGGTGTAGATGTGGGTGGGTAGGTGGTGTGGATGTGTGGTGGGTGTGGGTGTGGGTGTGGGTGTGGGTGTGGGTGTGGGTGTGGGCATGGGTGTGCGTGTGATGCGCTGTGGATGTGAGTGTATGTAAGTGGAAGCTCTACATCCCCACTCCACACCCAACCACATCCCCCCACACCCACACCCACACCCTTGTGTTGTTCGTAATCTCGACAGTCTAAAATACAATACTCTCATGATACGAAGAGTTTTAGCTTAAGAATCTTTTGCTCGGCTGTTTAAAAATTTATTGACTATTAGAATTGTTTTTAATTCTAATTTTATTTTATTTTATTCTAAAATGTAAATGCACAAATGTCTGCAATAAAATTATTTAATGTATTTATGTTTGTAAATCACATGTTACGCATTGATAATTTCCAAGTTACACTCTCTACATAAATAAAATAATAAGTATTCTATCTACTTTAGTCCTGCCACGGACAGACACAACGTTATCGTAGGTTGGCAATCTTTCTACATCACCCACGCAATCGAAAAAGAATACAAGAAAATGCGAGGATTTACAGAACTTAGGTTCACCAGAGTGAAACTATTTAAAAACCGTACTGCTGTGAAACTATGAGAACTAGGGATATGATACTTCAATTGCTACAATCAGTTGCAATGAAAGAGGTGATAAAGAAAATGTGTATGCTACATACAAACAATTTTCCTTCCTTCTGCATGTCATTTAGCAATAGAACTGTAAATTGTAGATTACCTATTTTCTGTATGACCGCAATATCACATGAAAACATACATTTTTTGTAATCATTGGACGAGGACTCCGAGTAAGATCGAAACATGCATTCATACTGTTTATCTTTATATAAATTTATTAATTTTCAGCATAGCTACACGCAAAAACAGAAGAAATACCAGTAATATCAAGTAAAAATTAGAAATAGTGAATCGATAGCAAGTACTTGAGTCTAAAATATCAATATTAGCAAGTTTGTAAAAAAATATTTAAACTGTCAACACCTTCATTAGCAACGACGAAATCCAACTTTCCATCCTTGTCTAAGTCACCAACAGAAATTGAGAATGGATAAGATCCATAACTAGTCGAAAAAAACTTGACATTTGTGAAGGAGCCATTTCCATAACTGAGCAATACACCTATGTTGTTTGTACCAAAATTTGCAACAATTATGTCCAGCAAAGTGTCGTTGTTGAAATCGCCAACAACAGCTATGTTCGGTTGAGAGTTAATACCAGTCGTAAATACCTTTTGACTTGAAAAAGACCCATTACTATGTCCAAGAAATACACCAACATTGTCACTGTCACGGTTCGCAACAACGATATCAAGTATCACATCGTTGTTGAAATCACCAATGGCTATTGACCATGGTGAAGAATCCGTTGAATATGTTATTTGATTTGCGAAAGAACCATTGTCATATCTTAAAAAAATACCGATATTATTCGTGCCTGAATTCGCCACTGCAACATCCATTTGACCATCTTTGTTAAAATCCCCAATAGCGAATGACCTAGGGCGAGACCCATTGCCAGTTATAAGTCTCATTTGTTTTGAGAAACCTTCTTTTGGATATCCGAGATATACACTAACACTTTTTCCATTTGCATTAACGACAATAATATCCAACTGAGTGTCCTTATTAAAATCGCCAACAGCTATAAATGAAGGACTAGAGCCAGTGGAATATATCATCTGTTTTTCAAAAACACCATTACCATGTCCAAGCAAAATACTCATAGTGTTATCGTTCCAGTTGGTAACGGCAATATCTAGGTTGTTGTCATTGTTAAAATCATCAACAGCTACAGCATCTGGGCCAGAACCAGCTGAATACTTAATCTGATTTGCAAAAGAGCCATTGGCGTATCCGAGAAGGATACTTACAGTGTTATCACCATTATTAGCAACGACAATATCCAATTGGGTGTCGTTATTAAAGTCACCAATAGCTACAGACAATGGAGAAGAGCCAGTTGAATACTTCATTTGATTTGCAAAAGAGCCATCGCCATATCCAAGAAGAATGCCTACAGTATTGTCACCAACATTAACAACGACGATATCCAAATGAGTGTCGTTGTTAAAGTCACCAACAACTACAGACCGTGGCGAGGAACCAGTTGAATATGTAGTTTGATCTGTGAAAGAACCATTACCATATCCGAGAAGGACACTTACAGTGTTGTCTTTCCTATTGACCACAACGATGTCCGGATGAGTGTCGTGGTTAAAGTGACCAACTGCCACAGATCGTGCACCAGAGCCAGTTGAATATTTTGTTTGATTTGCAAAAGAACCATTAGCATACCCGAGAAGAACACTGATAGTGTTGCCATAGAAATTAGCAACGACGATATCTAGATGAGTATCGTTGTTAAAGTCACCAACAGCTACAGACTGTGGCGAGGAGCCAGTGGAATATTCTACTTGCTCTGTAAAAGACCCATCGCTATACCCAAGAAGGATACTGATAGTATTGCTCCATTGATTAGCAACGGCGATATCAAGATAGGTATCTTTATTAAAATCACCCAGAGCTACAGCTGTAGGCCAAAAATCAGTTGAATATTTAATGTCATGATCAAAAGATCCAAGGTTGTATGTAATAAACACATCAACATGATCAATGCCATCATACGCAACGAAAATAAGAGCTGTTCGCATAGTACGTATTGCATCAAAGGAACAATTAGATCACGATATGCTCGTTTTTACGGCGACGAGTTAGCGTTGAAGAAATAATAAATTGATACGCGAACTTTGTGTTCGCCGAGCATTTTCGTGCCCATACCCGATGAAAGCTATTATTTTAATGTCTTCTTATTCAATGGTTACATCACGAGTAGTTTAGCTTTGTCGATAAGTTGTTCCACAAGGGATCATCGGTAACCATAGCATTTGAAATATCAATGCTTTCCATCAATATCTCTGTATGATGCAAAGCACAAGTCATGAAGAAAGATATTTTAAGAAAGAAAATAAAAGAATTTGTAGTTTGGAGCATCCAAACTCATAAGATATGAGAGGCACTATTATGCTTCTTGGTGCATTGTTCTGTTGGGTACAGATCTGCAATATGCACCCTTTATTTGGGTGTAATCTACGGTGTCATTTTTCCGTTAGTTTAAAATCAACTCAAGCCATAGAAAACTTTTGTTTATTTTTAGTTATGTAGAAATTAAATTAAATTTTTGTATTTCTTCGTGATACTTCGTACAAGAAATATATCCTATTGTTAACATCATATTTATTTATGAATCAAGTCATATATAATGCTTTCATTAAATCGGCAGTAAAGGGTGAATACGTACTGTTTCGTTACCCAGCAGCTAGTGAAAGATTACTGACCGCCACTACTATCAATTGAATGAAATAATTGTATATTACTCGATTATCATATGAATACAATGTTAAAATAGAATATATTTCTTTCATAATGGAGCATAACAATGTAAAATAATTTAATTTAGTTTTTAGTTTAATAAATTGCAAAATGCAATTAATTCAAATCTAACTGAGCCATCAGAATTTGATTCAATTCATTCAACTTCTTGAATAGGTGTCAAAAGATCGAAAGTCAAAACGTCGAAAGTTAAAATATCGAAGAGGCAAAA